CCCCCCACCAGTACATGGATACGTATAGTACCAGCCATAATCTTAAAGATATGTATAGCTAAATATGTGTAGTATGGGGTATACTAAGGGAATCGTGCCTAATATCAATAGTTAATGATAACTAAGAATAAAGTAGTTATACGATTGTGAAGGCTATAGAGGGATAAACTTAAGGCAACCCGGATACTAAGAGAATAGTGACAAAAGGTCCCAGATACTAATAGTATATCAAGAGTAGTTAATAAAGATAAAATAAAGGTATCCTATAGAGGGATATTAAAAATAGTTAACAGTTAAAAGGGAATACTCACCCAGGTATTCATTGATAATGAGTAGAGCAGTAGTCCTCATAACTACTACAGATACTAACTAGCTATTAAATAGACTGGAGTGTAATTGGCATCGGGCTCAAGTGAGTTATAGGTTTACAAATAATCAAGGGGTCGCACACACTAAGTTAATAAACTCAAAGTAGTATCGGCCTTGGTACGGTGTACGTCGGTTTTCCTGGATAGGGCGAGTACTGTTAGTTCCAATGGATTTAGCAGTAGCCATTCGAGTAGAGAATGGACCAGTCCGCTCCCCTGTTACAGTATCAATAACAATGATTTGCCGGGGGTTGTATTTAGAGTAAACCTTCTTAGACCGTTCAGCTATAAACTGAGCAAAGTCATTAGGTGCCATAAGGCTTTCAGGAGCATCAACCAGGGGTGTCCGAGTAAGTGTAACATCATTAATAGTGTGACTAGCCTTCTTTTTGAGATTAGCCATAAATATAGGGTTCTTACCTAGTAGACCAGAGAGCTCCCGTTGGGTCTTAGAAACAAAGATAAGGGTACCATTGTGGTAAACGTAGTAAGTAACAGATAGAGCATGTTGAGCCTTAACTGTAGTAGGGTTAGTGGTGTCACCACCTCGTTGTACAACTAGTATTCCATTAACAGTAGGCCGTAGAGCCAGGATAAGGTATTGTTCAAGGATATTCTTGAATAGTTGGATATCAAGACCTATAGTATCCTTAGGGGTAATTAGACAGATAGTAACAAAGCCTAGTTTAGCTTTTTTGTGTACATAGAACTTCTCCTTACCTTTTGAAGGTGTTAGGTGTTCTTTAACCCGTCGACCCGAGTGCGAAGTTTGCCCAATGTAGTCATCACCGGCAATAGTAATATGGTATACCGCATGGTGTGGTTCTATACCTTGTTCCCAATAAAGAGGCCCGTTATCATTAATGAATTCTTTTGATTCACTCTTGACCCAGGGTACGGGGTATGACTTAGCGTTATCATACATGCTCTGGCAATGTTCCAGCATATCAGGAGTTACTACTTTGGTATTAAGGTACTTGTTAATGTTATCCGGTGTAGCAATAGACGTATTAGGGTTAGCATCTATCAGGGCTTTGATTTCGAAGTTATTACGGTAGGCCTGGGCTTTTTCTTCCTGGTAGTTATAGCGTTTACCAGTAGAGGTAGGGGTGTTTGTAGAAGTTGAATCATAGTAGAGCGCGGACTTAGAGTCAGCGGGTGTAATAACATTGGAGGATAGGGGTACGGCAGCCGTGAAAAAGTTTCGGGCAATAAGCATAGGGGGGATAGTTAATAATAGTTAAGCATGGTATTTGACATATATCCGGTTCGACGGTATACTGGTCTTACCTATAGCTAAATATGTGTAGTATGGGTATACTAAGGGAATCGTGCCTAATATCAATAGTAATGGTAACTAAGAGTAAAGTAGCAGAAAGCTCATTATTAGTGCAAATAGCCCAGTAGCTTCCGATAGAGCAAACCCTAGAATAGCGTAAGTGAATAGTTGACCTCGTAGTTGTGGGTTTCGAGCAACACCTTGAATTAGGGCACCGAATACAATACCAATACCAGCACCAGCACCAGCTAGTCCAATAGTAGCTAGACCAGATCCAATATATTTAGCAGCAGCAAGCATAGTAATTATGATAGTTCGTCAATATGCCATAGGTAGGTTAATACTAACTTATATACGAGGTCTGAGCCTACACTATAATACAATGTACTCATTACCTATAGTGTGTAGAAGTAGGGTGTAGTAGTTAATGCACCTCAAGAATAGCAAGAGTCGAACTCGCATGTATGACTTTGGAGGTCAGTGTATTACCATTATACAATATTCTTAGGAAAGGTGTTATAGCTATAGGATAGTTGCCCTATAGGTAGTATGCCTTGATAGCTTAAAAGGTAAGAGCGTATAAGTGAAGTTTATAAGAACTAGGTTCGATTCCTGGTCGGGGCAGTATAAGTTAATAGTGCAGATATACTCTACTGGTTGAGTGGTGCTCTGTAAAAGCACTGGTTACAATACCATACTGGGTTCAAGTCCCTGATCTGCAATTGTATGAGGACGTGTGACTGAGCCCGGTTTATAGTGTTTACCTTGAAAGTAAAAGTAAGTAGATTACCAAGAGTTCGAATCTCTTCGCGTCCGGCTATAGTAACTATAGGTTAGCATGATAAGCACTGTTTATCCACCCAAGTAACTAATGAATAGAATATAATCCTATAGGGGATATCTCTCTTATATGGTGTAGGCACTTACGCTATACCTAATTAGTATCTTTGACTAACCTAGCCTACCCTAATGGGTTAGAGCATCTACACCTTGTGAATGTGTACAGCTAACTATTAATAATGACTGAACTAACTAATCGGTTTGATAAAGCCCAATACCAGGCACAACCCTTTCATCTAGTAACGCCTAGCCCATGGCCACTACTATCTTCATTTGCCCTTCTGATCCTAACGACTGGAGCGGTTATGTACTTTAACGGGTACTCTACACCTCTACCAGGGGGTCCAACAACACTACTACTACTAGGGTTCCTAACTACAGCAGGTTCAATAGCTCTATGGTTCCGAGATGTAGTTACTGAGGGTACGTTCCTTGGTGACCATACATTCCTAGTACAGAAAGGTATTAGTATAGGGGTACTTCTATTCATCGTAAGTGAAGTGTTCTTCTTCCTAAGCATTTTCTGGGCCTATTTTCATAGTAGTCTAAGCCCCGTTGTTGAACTGGGAGCTCAATGGCCACCTCAAGGTATTGCTACTATTAACCCTTTTGAACTACCGCTACTGAATACTATCCTACTACTAAGTAGTGGTGCTAGTGTAACATATGCTCATCATGCCCTTATTGGACGTAACCGTCGTAATGCTATTATTGGACTAATCTTTACCCTGGTGTTTGCAGTACTGTTTACTATCTGCCAAGGTATTGAGTACCTTAACGCAGGGTTCACTATAGCTGATGGGGTATTCGGTAGTGCGTTCTTCTTTAGTACTGGGTTCCACGGTATTCATGTACTTGTAGGTACTATCTTCCTAGCAACCGGCTTCTTTCGCCTACTATCATACCATCTAACTGACCATCATCATCTTGGTTACGAAGGAGGAATTCTCTATTGGCACTTCGTCGACGGGGTCTGGCTTATTCTTTACGTGTGCGTATATTGGTGAGGTTCATAGTGACTTCAGGCTCCCTTTGGTTAATGTTATTCAGGTCCGATCCAGTATCTCCCTCTATAGGATTACACGATTTAAAGTAGGGTATGTCCTCGCGCCCCGTCTTAATATTAACTAGACCTCTACTATAGGGTTAAACTATTTTACTTACTCCTACTATAGGTTACCTGGATTTAGATACTTCTACTATAGGTTGTATACCTTTTAAGTCTTATATACTCCTACTATAGGTTACCCTCATTAAACTATACCCTTTCCTGGTTATGGTAGGCAATATGGACATTAACTACTTCTACTATAGGCTGCATAACTACTGAAGCTTACTACTCCTACTATAGGTTGCATAATTTAACATCACGCATGGGTTACTACTCCTACTATAGGTTGCATTTACTACCTCACATCTATATAGGTATCAATGTCTACTGTAGACCTCTTGAAGTAAGTGTGCTGGAACTGGTCTACGGGCTAAATTTAGGTTTTAGTGCTCTCAGAGCGTGTGAGTTCGAGTCTCACCACTTGCAATTATTCAATACCGTTACCTTTTGAGTTTAACCTCTTGCTATTAACCAATACCCTGGCAACTTTGGCCTAATGGTTAGGGCCCATGATTTCGGCTCATGTGACTAGTGGTTCGAGTCCGCTAAGGTGCTTAGTCTATGTATAGGTAACTAGAGTGTTTTGATACCCATATACCGGTATCCAATATGATAGGTAATAACTATCACTACCCGTAAGGGTTCTAATAAGAGTACTTAATCTTGGTACAGTTTGAACGTTATCTGGTAGTTTTACTCATGCAAGTTATATAGCATACCTAAGGTGTTATAGCGTACAGGCGAGGATTAACAAGTATAGTGCCTTTAAGCCCCTCTTAAAAGGAGGATACTAATAAATGGAGGTTCCCGGCTTAGAGATCATCTTGAGTGCCAGCAGGTAATAGCTGTGCTAACTAATTATTATTTAGTTATCTAGTACACTAACCTATGACGGCTAGAAAGGGGTGTTAACCTTACTTTCCGCAACCGGTTTGAGAGTAATCGGTCATATCAATAGATATGCTGCAGAGGAGAATCTTGGGCAATGCTCTATGGAGTGACCCAGCTAACCAGAACCCCATATCTAGTAAGGTAGCTTAACTATTTTTAACTAGAGGTAGGGTACACGTATGTTAATATTGATAGCATACATAACCAGTCTAATCTAAGTCTCGTGCCAGCAGACGCGGTTATACGAACTAGGCTAACGTTAAATGGTTTCAATAGGTATTAAGGATCCGTAGGCGGTATATTATTACTATAGTCAAATAGAAGACAATGGAATACTGGGAGTAGAGTTGATATTCATTGATACCCAGTGGACCACTCATGGCGAAGGCAATTGTCTAGGTATGACTGAAGCTGAGGGATGAAAGTTAAGGTAGCAAAATGGATTAGATACCCAAGTAGTCTTAACTGTAAACTATTTACACCTATCTGTTGTCTATAAAGGTATACTTTATTATTAATAGACAGCTTGACAGCCAACTGCTGTATGTGTAACACCTTGTAAGTACAGTCCCAAGACTGAAAGCAAAAAGATTAGACCATCCCTAAGACCCGGAGTGGAGCATGTTGTTTAATTCGATAATCCGCGAAGAACCTTACCTCTCCTTGTATAATACAAAATCAATAGTTACTACTATTAGTGTATTACAGGTATTGCATGGCTATCGTCAGTTCGTGTCGTAAGATGTTAGGTTGATTCCGCTAACGAACGTAACCCCGAGTACGTATTGATACTATGTACTGTGATGCTAATAAAGCACACCATAGTTGGGC